AGTAGGCCTTGGATAAGTAGTAAGAATAAAAATGTAAGCATTTAAAATATTTTTAATTACAGACATTTTATGTTATTTTGGACACTCAAAACAAACAAAAGCAGAAGTTAAAGAGAGAAAAAAAGGAACAAAAAGTAGTTACATTTTTATCTTAGTTACATCTTCCATTTCATTTGCTTCATTAAGAATTGCCAGACCTTAGGTTTGCAGGGCAGGATGAAGTACATACATACTCACCTCCTGTGTTTCACCATAGAAGCCAGAAAATCATCAAATGCTCACCGACAAAAGGTGCATCCGTTTCAGAGCTCTGAAAGTCAGGTGATGGTGGTAGTGTTCTGAGTGGCATGAGCAGAATCCATCCCCAAACTTTTGTTTCATATGCCTCTACTCAGATATAGGAATGAGTTATAATTGACCTGGCAAGAGGCTCCCAAATGTTTTATTTTCTAGCAATTACAGGAAAATAAAAATTTATAAAAATGGTTAAGGCATATATATATGTGTGTGTGTGTGTATGTGTGTGTGTGTGTGTGTGTGTGTATCTGTGCTCTAATGAAAGCTACCTCAAATCCTTTTCTCAGATTAAAAAAGGAATAAAAAGGAAAAAAAATGAAATTTATGTTTGCTGTCTATAATCCTTTTCTTTTCATTTAACTTTATGTACAACACTAGAGACCCAGTGCACGAATTCATGCACCAGTGGGATCCATCAACCTGGCCTGCGGGGATCAAACCAAAACCTGTTCTCTGACATCCCCTGAGGGGTCCCAGGTTGCAAAAGGGCACAGGTCAGGCCATGGGATCCCATCAATGCACAATCAGGGCCAGGGAGAGATGTGGGAGATTGGCCAGCTAGGGAGGGACTGCAGGAGGACTTGAGGGCATGTCCAGCCATCTCGCTCAGATAGGCCAGGTACCAGCAGCAAGCTAACCTACCAGTCAGAGTGTCTGCCCCCTGGTGGTTAGTGCACATCATACCAAACGGTTGAGTGGCCTTAGCATATCATTAGCATATTATATTTTGATTGGTTGAATGGATGACCAGATGACCAGACACTTAGCATATTAGGCTTTTATTATATAGGATGAACATTTCCAAAGCCAGAAGTAGATAAGGAGGTATATTTAGAGTTCTTCTTCCATCCCTATTCTATCATGTCCTCTTCCTCCTAAATTAAAAATTATTTAGAATTTTCTGGTTTATACTTCATGTGTTTTTTTCCAGAAATATAAGCATGTGTTGGGTTTTTTTTTTTCATAAATATATGCATATGTACACATATTCATACACAACCATATTAATTCTTCTTTCCTTTTTTACCACTAGCATACAATTTTATATTCTGGAATCTCATTTTTTTTCAAGTGCCAAAAATACTCTGCAGATCACTCCATACCAGCATGTACAAATTTTCTCCTTTCCTTTTTTACAACTCAACATTTTGAAAGCATCTGTGTATTTTAAAAATACACATATGTAATTTTTAGTTTTTCTTTTTATATTAGCTTCTTCAAATATTGGAGTTAATAATTTAAAGCATCAAAATAATAATATATTGCTGGTCATGTATAACATTGTTCTGGGAATAATAAATTTTCTGTGCTTTGAAATCAATGCTAACTTGCATTTCTGATGAAGCTTTATAAATATTTTAAAGGTCTCTTTTCTATTTATAAATTTATAAATGTTCATTGAATTAAAAACAGAAAACGTATAAAATAAAAATATGAGTACTGATAGTAATAATAATAAATTATAATAAATAATGCAATTATAACCGTTGTTAATAGTTGAGCATATTTTCCCAGTACTTTTTTCCTATACTGTATGTGTGTGTGTGTGAGTGTGTGTGTGTGTGTTTTCTTACACTGTTGCTTATAGCAATCAAATCTAACCTGAAGACTTTTGAATTTAAGATAAAGCTATACCCTCGGAAAAATAACAACTTCTGAGTCTAATTTAAATGACTGAGATCTCTTCTTGGGGTTCTGGGTAAGAGAGAAAACTTTCTATTAATTATCATCACTTACATTCTGGAGTTGTCTTTTCAAACAACTATTAAGTTAAAAAGAGGTAGAGAGAGAGGCCAAAAATTCCCCTTGAAATCTATCTGATTTTGACACTTTTTTTCCTTTTCTAAATTAAATCTTTATGGTTAAAAGTATTATGTATCTCCCTTCCCCCTCCCATTGACCCCTTCTAGCCTGCCCCCACCTAGGCCCAGGCCTTCACGACCCTATTGTCTGTGTCCATGGGTTAAGCATATATGAATACAAGTTCTTTGTGAATCTCTTCCTACCCATCCACATTCCCACTGCCCATCCCCCCTCCTCTGAGATTTGACTGTTGTTCTATGTCTCTGGATCTATTTTGTTCATCCGTTTATTTTGTTTATTAGACTCCACATATGAGTGAGATTGTGTGATACTTGTCTTTTTTCAGACTGCCTCATTTCGCTTAGCATCCTACTCTCAAGATGATTTTGACTCTTTGATAGAAAATAAATAAATAAATAAATAAATAAATGTCTCACTCACACACTGCCACATTGAGGGCTTTCAAATCTAAAAATTTATGGCTCTTTGCCATAATCAAAGATGATGCTCTTAAATTGCTCATTTAAAAAAATACACTTTTAGAACACTCAAACAGGGATGATGATATTTCATTGACTTACTAGAACCCTCACCATTCCTTCTGTGGGTCGCAGGTGTGTGTTTGCATCAGTCAGCCGCAGCCGTGAGTCCTGACCTTGTCTAGGGACCAGCCAAAGCAAACTGCACTTGTTGAGGATTGATCCGGACCTCACCAAGCCACATGCTAGCCAAAGGTCAGTGTAATTAGATTGCTTTAGTAGAATGAGCCCACAGAAATCTAGACTAACAGAATGGGTAAACCGTAAGGTGATATTTGCTTTAGAGAAGAACTCCTTCCCAGAGAATTCCTTAGCATGTTTAAAAAGAGAATTGACTATATTAAAACATACCTTTCAGAAATTTGCTACTCAGGAGAGTCCTCTACATGAGAACATCCTGTTCTGCTGGGCAGTCTTTTCAATAAAGTATTTGACACATTTATAGTAACACAATGAATAATTACCAAAATTTCATTTTAATTACCGAGGATGCAATGTGAGGTTACATCAGAGCCACAAAGTAAATTAGCTTCCTATTTCTCAAGGCCTTGTTCACACTGTGTGGGATTTACAAAAGGTCTCTCAAAGGGCATAAAATACGGAAAATGTATAATACTTCCAAATAATTGCAAAACACCTGAAACCAGGGCGTGGAAGTCTCAAGCTCACTATTGACACAAGCTATACAAAGCCAAATGTGAGGTAACCTTCCCAGGTGCAAAACTACTTTGTTACTTTTAATAATAAATTACTTTAATTCATTATGCTAATTAAACTTTAAGATGCTTGTAGTCGTGGGGGGAGTGCAAAACGATGGGAGCAGGACTGGCTTCGTCATTTGCCGTGCCCCTTCTAACATGAGGAATTTCAAGAGAGTCTTAAACCGGCACAGGTCCTTCCTGGTGCCGGGACCTTGGTGACAACTGCACATGAAACTGGCCATACACGAGGCTCTTCCCGCCCTCCTCCTTTTCAACAGCTCCCCCCTTTTTAGCAAGTTTTGGTTCAAGGAAAAAATTGAGCGAAGGTACAGAGATTATCCATATATCCCGGCCTCCCTGGCCCTTCTCACTCATCAGTGCCTCCCACCCGGCCACAGCGCGCTGGGTGCAGAGACAGACAGAGGCCAGCTTTGCTGTCAGACTGGTCTGGAGTTTTAGGTCAAACACTCCGCACAGCTCTCACCTGCTCCAAAACCACGGGGCCACAGTGTTATAACACAGATTTGTCTTTCTTTCCCCTTGCTTATTCAAAAGAGACAGACTTTTATAGTTTTTGGGGTGTGTGTGTGTGTGTATGTGTGTGTGTCTGTGTGTGTGTGTGTGTGTGTGTGTGTGTGTGTGTGTGTGTGTCTGTTTGTGTGTGTGTGTTTACAACCCTGCTGCATCCAGAAGAACCCCGGCTCCCTGTCTGCAAACTGTGCTGGGGGCAGGTGCGAACGCCCTGAAGCCTGAGCATCTTCCTCTGTGTGTCCAGAGGCCACGGGGACCCGCATCCCCGGGGCAAAAGGCGCAGGGAGCCTCCCAGGCGCACCTCCATCTCTCCCGGGTGCCTACTTGCCTGGGTGTACCCTATGGGCCCCTGGGCCCCCGAACGCAAATCAGGGACCCCAGCCCCGCACCAGGATGCACAGACCAGCCGATCGCCCCTGTTCCCCCTCCCCGGGCCTCCGGATCGCTTCGTGCCCCCCCGCTGCTGAGTCTCCCCCCGCCCGGCCCTCGGGCTCCGGGCCGCGACGCCACCCCCGGGCCAGCGGGAACCGCCGGAGTCCCGGCCGGCGCCCCGGGAGCCGCGGAGGCGGCCGCTGGCGGGCGGCCCGGAGGCAGGCGGCGGCCCGCGGCCTGTGCGTGCGCAGCGCCCCCTGCGGCCGCGCTGGGGAAGGCGGCGGCGGGGAGAGGGAGCCGCCCGCCCTCCCGCCCGGCCTCCTCCCCAGCCCGCCGCCCTCCCACCCTCCGCTGCCGGGGAGTCCGCGCCTCCGCGCCCGCCCCGATTTCCTCCGCACGGCGGCGGCGGCGGCGGCGGCGCCTCGTGCGCGCGGTTATTTATTTATTTCCGGGCCCGGAGCGCTTATAATGGAGCCGCTGTCAGCGGAGCCTTCTGCCGCCGCCGCCGCCGCCGTCCCTCCTCTTTTTCTTCCCGGCAGATCTTTGTTGTGTGGGAGGGCAGCGGGGATGGACTTGAGCTTGCGGAGCTGCTGCTAGAGCCGCCGCCGCGCTTGCAGAGGGCGCCGCAGCCGCAGCGACCGGGAGCCGCCGCCGCCGCCGCCGCCGCCGCCCGAGGCCCCTCCGGCCCGCGCCCCGAGCCCCGGCACCGTGTCCCCGCGCCGGCAGATGTGCGTGGGGTCAGCCCACGGCGGGGACTATGGTGAAATTCCCGGCGCTCACGCACTACTGGCCCCTGATCCGGTTCCTGGTGCCCCTGGGCATCACCAACATAGCCATCGACTTCGGGGAGCAGGTAAGCCCCGCCGCGCCCCGCGCCCCGCGCCCCGCGCCCCCCGCTCCGGGCTCGCTCTGCCTCGGCCTTGGACGCCCCATCGCCATGGGATGGGGGCAGCGGGGAATCACCTGCTCCGAGTTCCTTTTTTATCCCGGAACAGTTGATCTGGATTGATTGCAGCCTGTCAAAGGATGACTTTTCCAGCAGTTCGTTGCCCCCTCCCCCAGTTATTCAGCAGAGTTTTCCAGCTCTCTCTGCTCGCTGCTCTCTCTCTCTCTCTCTCTCTCTCTCTCTCTCTCTCTCTCTCTCTCTCTCTCTCTCTCTCTCGAAATTGGTAAAGCATAGGCGGGTTTGACGCTTCACCTACAGAAGGGTTTTTCCGTGCACAGTAGGAGTGTTATGTAATTTGTGATTATGTAAACCGCAGGTCTGTACGTAAAAATGTAGTTTCTAGTAGTTCAGGTGCTGGTTTGCTATCTATCCGGGGCTGGCGATGACGGTGATGGGGATGATGGGGAGATGTGCGTTTTCAGCCCAGCTATGTATGGATGAGGGGTGTCCCCAGTGTGTCCTGACACGCCACCATTGATCATCTCTAGTTTAGGATTCGGGGTGTGTTTTGTTTTTGTTTTTTCTTGCACCGCTAAAAGGGGGGGGGAATACGTTTTTGTTCCTTACTTTCCTGTCCGTGTTTCTTTGCCATGTTTTTCACCATTTGTCTCCATGTGGCGTCATTGCAAAGCTGGCGCTGCAGGCTCCCCAGCAGCCAGGCATCCATCGGTGCTCTGCACTGAGCCTGCGGGGACCGGTTCCTCGCAGGGCCCCCAGCGGGGTGCAGGTGCATGAGAAGGCCAGAAAGGGGAAGGGGTGGACAGTAAGTAACATGCCACCTTAATGTGCAGAAACTGGAACTGGCCAGCGTGTGTCATGGGCAACACTCCCGGTGTTTTGTAGCACCTTATTTACGTTCTTTTTAAGTCAAGAACAGCTTAAAGGATGTTCTATTTTTAAAATGCACCTATTTGGATGAACTTTTAGTTTAAAAAAAAAAAAAAAGAACCAGTTTTTTGTTGTTGTTGTTTTGTTTTTCTTTTCAGAAAAGCGTTGATTTGGCACCTCCTTTTGGTGACTATCTGCTTGCATTTGTTTCTTTGCTGAGAACTTCTGATTGATTGCTACCCTATAAGCTCCCTGATACTTAGTGACATTGTAAGCTACTTTTGCTTCGAATTTTATTGCAGCTAAGTGTCCACAGTGCCGGACAGCCTCTAGAGGCCTTTGTCTAGAAGCCCAGTAATTCCCTTTGATTCGCTGTGATCCCTTTTCTGCTGCCTCTGTGCCCTGCGAGTACCACCCCGATGCTTCCCTGCTGCTCCACCTTCTTCCTGCCCACCTTGCCCTCTTTAATAATTCCCTGGTGACTGTGGGCATTTCTTATAAGCTGTGGAAAGGTCTGTAGACCCACATTCACTACATGGCACATTTAAGGTGAGTCAAGTGCTGTCTGTTCACCTGAACCTTTTACTATATTAAGGCTTATTTTCCTGGAGCTGTTCCCAAGATTATCAGCACAAGATGCTCAACTGATCGCTTCGCCCCGAACATTGTAGTGTGTATGTTTGTGTGTGAATTAGGTAGGGATAACTGGAGGAAATGAGTATTCTTTTTCATAATTAAATGACCTGAAGCATGCCACAGTATTGTCTCACATTTGCTTTGATTTTTTTAAAAATATTTTTTTTATTTTTAAATATTTTTTTTTATTTCAGAAAGGAAGGGAGAGGGAGAGAGAGAGCTAGCAACATTAATGATGAGAAAAAAATCATTGATCGGCTGCCTCCTACATGCCCCACAATGGGGATCAAGCCCACAACCTGGGCAGGTGCCCTGTCCAGGAATCGAACCGTGACCTCCTGGTTCATAGGTCAATGCTCAATCACTGAGCCACGCTGGCCGGGCCATTTACTTTGATTTAATACAAGGCTAATATTTGCTTTTAGGGTAAGGGAAAGGATCTCCTGAGTTACAAAAAAGAGAAGACTAAACAGAGGTTTTACCCTAGTAGGTCTACTAATTCAAACTTATCTTTACAACATTGCTAACCTCATAATCATGGCTGACATAAGCAACGGACTAGAACAGTTATCTTTTTGCACAGAAGCAAGTTTTATCAACAAATGTTAGTTGAGGGCCTTATCCCTTAAATGCCAGCATATGAGGGGAATGGCTGCCTGGAAGTGGAGGTATTTTATCAGAGTTAGGGGTGGGAAGATGCAGGGAAGAAATTCATAGGTTCCCAAAGTCTTGCTTTGCCTTCCGGTAGCAGATGTCAATTGTTTTGCAAACTGTGCAGGGTGAGAAGTGAGAAGAATGGAGCTTATTTTTTCTTAATTTTAAATGAGGGAAGAATTACAGCGTGAGCTAAAGCATGACCTGATCATATGTGGGTAATAAATACAAGGACATTTTACCCCAACTGCTTCAAAGCCCAATAAAGATGAAGAGAAATGAATCTATTTGCAAAAGTGGGTCTATGTTAGGCTTTGAAAACATACAGCCCTTGACGTGAATTTTTATTAAGTTCTAGAGAGAGGGACACATGTAGATCTCTGCTATTCTTCTTTCAGATTTACCAGGTGAATAATGCCTCGACCTGAGTGAACAGTGATTTCATATTTCAGTAACTGCCTAATCCTAAAGTATGCAGGTGACATGGGAGTGTAAAGATCAAAACAACTTCTGGTTCTCATGCTTTTGAAATAATTAAGAAACGCAAGCTTAGAAAATAAAACATTTGTCCAGGTCAAAAGGATAGTAAAATCATTTTAAATGTTTCTTAGAGGAGTGTGTTTTTGTTATTATAAACATCTCAGTTTGTGGTTTCTGTAGAAAATGTGGGCAGAATTTTTTTTTTAATTTTTTCATTGATTTTAGAGAGGAAGAGAAATAGAAACATCAGTGATGAGAGAGAATTAATAATCTGTTCCCTTCTTCCCCTGCTGGGAATCGAGCCTGCATCCCAGGCATGTGCCGTGACAAAGAATCAAACCATCACCTCCAGATTCATAGGTCAGTGCTCAACCACTGAACCACACCAGCTGGGCCAGAACTTTTACAATGGAAATCCAGCTATATAAAAGATTCCACTGAAATTTGAATAAGCGGCACATATGTGATTGTGTGTAGGAATTACACATGAATTATCTCAGCTACTAGTGTATGTGGGGTTAGGGGGCATGAGGAAGTCTCTAACAATTTGTCCAGAGTGTCCTGATATTCTCCAAGAACATTATCTACATTGTATGTAAATTTACCAGCAATTTCAAAGCTCAATCAGGGAGGGACCCAAATATTATGGGCTACTTACTCTGACAAGACTAGCAAAACCTATTACCATATTTTCAGTTTTGATGGTGGCAATCATTTAAGGGAGGAGGGAAGGTTGAATTCTACACTGAAAATAAAAAAATATATGCAATAGAATGCCCTGCTTTGTAATATTAAACATAGGGACCATAGAAAAGAATGTGAATATATTCATTATTGAAAAATGTAAAATGACATTTGTAGAGCCCTGTAGGTGAATAGAATAGTCTACCATACTTATTGTATACACTGAGTGGCCAGATTTTTATGATCTCTGAACACATAATAATCTGGCCACTCAGTGTATATCCTATATAATAAAAGGCTAATATGCAAATTGTCCCCTCAACCAGGAGTTTGACCAGCAGGCAGGCCTGCCAACTGCCCATGTTCCCTCTCCCTGGCCAGGCTTGCCAGACCCCACCCATGCACGAATTCATGTGCCAGGCCACACACACACACACACACACACACACACACACACACACACTGAGTGGCCAGATTATTATGCGTTCAGAGATCATAATAATCTGGCCACTCAGTGTATGTAGAATTATTATTTTGTGTTTACTTTTATAGATTGATAATCAAAAGTACTAATTACTTCCAGTTTTTGAGCACTTAACATGTGCTTACAGCAGCTCAATACATGTTTAATATGAGGAAAGAATGAGAGGCCTACGCATGTTACTTGTCCAAGATCACGCAGGCAGTGCAGGGCGGAGCCTGGGTTCACATCCATATCTGCCTGGCCCTTAGCCATTCTGCTCTCTGCCTCCTCTGGTCACGCTCACATGCTGAGATAGGCCCAGGAGTTTTATTATTTTTTTAAAATATATTTTTATTGATTCCAGAGAAGAAGGGAGAGGGAGAGAGATTAAAAACATTAATGAGAGAATCATTGATCGGCTGCCTCCTTTTCACCCCCTCTGGGGATCAAGCCTGAAACCAGTGTGCCCTGATGAGGAATAGAGCCGTGACCTCCTGGTTCGTAGGTCGACGCTCATGAGACAGAATGGCTGGGCTAAAGGAGAAACCTTTCCCCTTCCAATTTATTGTACACTAATGGAATGAATTTCAAAATAATGTTTCTTTTTCTAATTATAAGAGGAATATATGCTGTTTGAAGTTTGGTTAAGTGTAGAGGGAAAAATAACTATAATTATGCTCTAAAGGGAAAAACAAAACAAACAAACCTCCTTTAACATTTTGGATATCTCTTCCCAATCTTTTCTTTCTCCAACATAATTGAAGATCTGCCTCTGTTTCTCTCCCTTCCCCTACCCCCCCTCTCTCTCCTCTCTCTCTCTTTCTCTCTCTCTCTCTCTCTCTATATATATATATATGCATTTTTCTTATATTTAAAAAGTGTTTAAGTATGATTTTAAGTAGCATAATATTTGATTATATGAGAATACTGTAATTTCCCTTGTGGTATATTCCCCTATTGTTTAAATGGTGAGTTTAGGGGGAGGGGTGTTATTGTTTGGTTGGTTGTATTATTATAATATAAAATTTCAGTGAGCCTCTTTTTTGTAATAAGATGATAATGTTTTCTCTGACAACCTTGGGCTTTCTGCTTGGCATAACTTGCTGCCTATTTCAGCTTCTCATTCATACATAGAAAATGAGGTCACTCTCCTCTGGCAGTC